CTCTCCCTATGAGCCCACTGTGCTCTGATGTGTGATTATGTGTTACAATGGCATTTGTTAGCAACCAGAAAATGACACCAGTAATGACAAACTGATGAGAATGCTGCATGGGGTCTGGGTGCCGTGTTGGCGTGGGGCTCGCTGCTCCGCCCTTTGAGGCTCGATGAGCGGCCAGTGGGAGCTGGGTTACTGGTGTCATTTCCTGGTTGCTGTGTGGGGTCTGCGAGACAGCGAGACACCACGGAACTCAGCCTGAGCACACACACGTGTGTGGCGAACTGTGAGTGGAGATCTACGGAGTCGCGGCTGAGAAAAGATAAGGCTGAGTGTGTGTGTGTGTGTGTGAGGAGCTCCACGGATTGGTCCATTTAGACCTGGGTATGGTTACGTCACTATACTCAGGAAGAAAAAAATGGAAAAAGGAAAATCTCCAACGAGGCGTTCTGGGGCAGCATAGACAGGTATTTTCTGTGTTAGAGCTTTACTCGCTACAGGGTGTACTTTGAGGGTTTGTGACTTTGCAGACCGTGTACATTCATAAAAAGCTACATAACACATAAGGGGACGGGTAATAACCGGAACAGCATGACATGGGACCTTTAAAACACCTTTCTTTAGTATTAGACAATTCCAACATCTCCCATCATGGCTGCCACTAAAATACTTCCTGGTCATTTCGTCGAGTTATTAACCTTACAAAGCAATACAAGACTACTCCAACATTACCTTAGAGTCCAGAGTTGGCTTGAAGTAAGACACATACATATATTTGACACGGTTTTAGTGTACTTTCTTACATCTGTTTTGTATTTTTAGGTACTTCAGATGGCAAAAACGTTCTTCCAGACAGAGAGCTGTACATCCGATGGTTGGAGCTGTCTGCTTTCATGCCTGCCATGCAGTTCTCTATACCACCGTGGGCCTATGACAATGAGGTAACCCAATTCAAACCACTCGAGGTAGAATTTGTATCTGTAAATATATTTCCATTAATGTGAAAGCATGTCCACATCTTTGATGACAAGTTGTTAAGTCAAACAACTGAAGGATGATTCCTGCTTATAATAGACTTTCAACAATGTACTGTAGATTGTTCTCTATTTTTCTTACATTTATAAAAAGCACAACGTTTCAAGCCAGAATTAGCTCGACACTAGGAAAGCATGACAACCATTTAATGTATTATTGACTAGATGATTAATAAATGTAGATAAATGGTACAAATATCTAATAATAGTAGGTATTACTTGCTTTTAAGTTCTGACATCATTGTGCCCCTCGTCCTTGTCTTCTACATGTATTGCTATCAGAAATCTAGAAGAAAATGTCTAAATAAACCAGCCACCATGCAGCTCTATTAGGCTAACTCTGTATCTCTGTGTTTTGACCTGCAGGTTGTACAGATAGCACAGAAGTTCACAGAGCTTCACAAGACTCTGGTGGCCCCAAGGGTCCTCGAGCTGGCAGGCGAGGTCCTTGACACAGGAGACCCAATCATAAGGCCCCTCTGGTGGATCGCTATCAACGACGAGGCCGCCTACAAGATCGACTCCCAGTTCTTGATCGGGGATGACCTGATGGTGGCTCCGGTGCTGGAGCCAGGGAAGCAGGAGAGGGACATCTACCTGCCTGCCGGACGATGGAGAAGCTACAAGGGAGAACATTTTGATAAGTGCCCCATGTACCTCACTGACTACCCCGTGGACCTGGACGAGATAGCTTTCTTTACATGGGTTCACTGAAGACATTAAAGGCACTTAAACTCGCACACACATTCTGTTTGCACATGTACATTCTTGTAAGCACACATGCCAAGAAGTAGCAGGAGATGTTTGTTGTTCAAAGATAAATTACCACTAGGGGAATTCACTGCAAGTTTTTGGCAAGATGAACTACATGTCTACTCTGCAGACTTTTGCGTGTATATATTAACCGTCCACTCACAGAATAACAATGACATTTGTGTTCACTCCTAATCATCTTGCTCCATCATTAAGCTGATCCTCATGTGCCTTCCACAGCCAATAGTAAAACCGATCTCAGATTGTATCGTCACCTTGTCTTCCACCAAAGCTAGTATGGTTTAATAACAACTGTGCCAGAAGTAATCTCACTTGTGTTTTTATTGTGGCCTGAGAGGGTTGGGCACTGAACCGGCAATACATATGCACTCAGAGGGCATCCCTAACCTTATGTCACTATTACATGTACTTATGTTTGAGCTAGCGTGCATTCATTTGCATTGAATTGACACTAACATGTGACTAATTTCTTAATTACACTCTATTTATTAACTTATTTTCTTTCAATTTGTTGGATAGTATTTTAGTGTATTAACAGTAAAGTCACATGTTCAATCTGAGGTAATTGTCATGATCAACACACTGCAAATATGTACTACTAGTTTGCCTTGGAACAACGGTATTGTTCTCAAAGATGCCATTTTACTACGTGCCATCCATGTCTGCCTCGTGACATTATTTGCCTTATCAGCTGAACTAAGCTATGCCGACACTCACCTCTGCTCACAGTGATATAAGGCTTGAGGATTTGTACCAATAGTTTATAACACACTGTCATCGCAAAGTATGTGAGGATCTCCCATCTCAATACATGCTTGTCTGCAGTGATTTCTGGGATGATAATATATAGTATAGCACTCCACTGGCTAAGTAATCTAAATTCCTAGCTCGAAAATAATTCTGCCGTATAAGCTAGTCAGTATTGTTTTGTAAAATGTTGAAGTCACTATATATTGAACTGTAACGGGATCAGAGTATCTTTTTAACATTATTCTGATATTTTTGTCATTTGAATTTTTTTTTGTAAATCCGGAGCCTTTTTGTTGCGTTCTTGCCTTCTTGATACTACCACCAGATGGTGCCATAGTCATACATGTTCCAAGCTTACATGCGTTGGCTTTGACTTGTAAATTAGCAACATTTCTAAATGAAAAAAATCCGTTATTTAGAATAATATAACAAATATGTTTTTAAACATAAAAACACTACATTAACTTCTGTAAGAAATCCGTTTCTGATATATTTAAAGGGATTTTGTCATTATATCAGAGCCTATCTCTCTAGGGCTCTGCATTATATATAATAAATTAACTGGCCAATATTTAAACCATGATTTAAACATACAAAGTTTAGACACATCATAGTTTAACATACTAAAGGGAAGTGTTTCTAATTGAATGATTGCTAATGTTAATAGCATTTTTATTGCAGAGAATAGTTCCTGCGATATGAAGTTGGACTGTCAAAGAATCGAAAAGGTTGTTGCACTTTCTGTGGTAGGTCTGTTCTATTCTGGAAAGCATGAGCTTTATATGTTCAGCAAGAACACATGAACATTACCAAAACTAAAGTTAGAATATTTCAAAGAACAACATGCTCAATTTTACATCTTTTTCAATAATGCATTTTTTAAGATCCTGCAAACAAACTGACCCAATTTAAGTTTGCATCAGATTATACTCACTAAAAACATTTATTTTAAACCGCCTTTTGTATTATCTGTGGATTGTCTTCACTTTCTTCACCTATGAGCAGGGCCGTATCCAGGATTTCCTAAATACCGAGGTCCAAACATGCTAGGGGGGTTCGGGGGTATAGATTTGGGGGATTTTCATGATCTAGTTGGGTGCTTTTTAAGTCCTGTGTCACAAATTGGATAATATATTGATTTCAAACCATGTCAGTGGATGCAGCATAAATTATCTTTGAAAGTGTAATACATAAGAATCAGTTGATTGTGACTATTAATGATCTGGACATGCAGAAGAGGCTAAAATGATCACAAAACATTGTCAACATTCATTTTCCATGTCTCTCTCCTTTCCATAACCTGCAGCCTCTCTTCCATCTTCTTGAGTCTCTCTGTCTTCTTCCTGTCCATTACTCTCTCTGTCCTCTACTCTTTCTCTTTGTTCAATCTCTCCCTCGTTGTTCACTTTTTGCTCCTCCTCACTTGTCGCTCCTGCCAGTGAATTAAAAGCAATTCAGCAATTTAGTTCATTTCACTTGTTTGTTTGCATTCTTTTTTTATTTAAATCTGTTTTGTTTGATTCTCAAAAGAGAACGAAGATGTAAGCAAATTGTGTTTTATACAATTGTATGTTATTATGACATCATAACTGCAATAGATGTATGTGGTTTTAAAATGATGCCTATTGTCTATATTGTAAATGAAGACTATTGTTATAGATAAATAGATAGATAGATGGATAGATGGGGTTATTAAGCCGACATTCTTTTGTCTGACTGTACCTGCAGTTCCTCCCTGACTTCCATCACTTTCTCTCTTTCTCTTTCTCTCTGCCTGTCCTGTCTCTTCCTTACCAACGCTGAGCTTTGACTGACGTATAGGTCCGGCCCTGACCAATTTTCTGCCGGCAAGATATTTTTTTTAAATATTGAAGTTAAAAGCATCAATCTGGTGCACTTTGAGAGCAACTTGAAGAGATCTATGGATACATCTCTCAACATATGAAACAGAACTGTAAACAGATTTTCTTTTTCTTTATGGATATTTTACAAATCACTCCCCTTTCAAACTGTATTCTTGTTTATTAATAACAACTTTTTTGTACTGTCATATAGTATTTTATACCTGTTTTTCGTCTATTCTCTTTTTTTTTTTTAGAACTATAATGATCATATAAAGGTGTGCCTTTACCGCATTGAGCTGAGGTAATCGGAGCCTCTCAGTCTTTCAGGAGAGAGCTCTCTAAAGCTATCTCCTGAATGTTTTCTGTCTTTTTATTTATGCTTGTGTTGACCTGTTGATCAAAAGTAACTCACAGTCCAAACATCTTAGTCCGCTGATCTGCTCATTTACATATAATTTATAAATTTCCTCAATAGTGTTAATGTTTTATGTCCTGTTTTGTCACCCATGTTTCTTATTATGGCTTCATGACAAAACTGCCGTTGCTATAGTAGCCTAATGTGAAATGCAGAACAAATCAATTAAACAATTACATAATCATCCATAATGTTGTCTTTTATTGAACAAATGTCGAGATGCATTAGGCGCTATACAAATGTAATCTATTATTATTATTATTATTATTATTCATTTACAGCTTTTATACGTCCGGAAATGTGTTTATTCTTCTAGGGTTCCAAAAAAAGAAGACACATTTAGTTAAGCGGTAGCTGCTCCGGAGCCTCAGAGAAAGACAGTGATGATGGCCGAGGAGAGCAGCAGGAGGAGCGGACTGCTGCCGGCGGGCATGGCGCTGTTACACAGGTCGTAGAAACAGCACTTAATGGGTTCAACACATGCCTGGCTGGTCATGCAACTCTTGGTTTTCAAACCTGCAAGGTGCGATATAAAGAAACTCAGTTTAAACAAGCCACCAAGCATTTGAAGAGAAATATAGCACTGATGATCTATTTGAAGTGCTATTTCACCCAATAACTCGACGCTGGCACAACGGTTCAATCCGGAAGGACAAGTCATCACCGCTGAGCAGCCAACACTTGCAACACATGTGTGGCATTTCAACCCATAGGCTATACAGAAATTGAGAAAAGTGCAAACATTGTTCAGGATACACATAATGTAATGCTCTTTTTATCACCATCCTCCAAAAATCACAATAAAAATGTATTTTGCTTCCAATACTTTTGCTTAGTTGCAGTTTCTGAAAATAGGTCTATTAAATCAAAGTATGGATGCACAACTAAATATTTTTTAATCTGATAAAAATACATGCCTTTAAATTCATTATAAAAGAATGTGCCATATCAAACTATACTGCGACATAATTCCAGGTCACCATCATGATAACTTCGAAAAAACGTACATTTCTTTGTGTTTCAACATGAAGCCAATACATCAGTTGTTTTTACCTGCAGACAGTGTCATGAAGAGGATCAGAGCTCCATAAAAATGCATCTTGAACAGAGAGGAAATCACACCTTAAATAACCTGTGTAGGAGAAAAACTGGAGGGAAAATGACAACCCCGTCAATGCTATTCCAATTTATAGTCCTTCAAACATGAAAACTTATTTCCCTCACTAGCCTCCTCCCAAAGTGATCACACCCAGAGACAGCCGTGCACCAAACCGGTTTCTGTTTATTTCTGTTAATGAGAGTGCCTTATGTGGTACACCTTTTTTGATAACTGATATTTTATTGAAAGATTATATAGTTTTGTTCAATAACTTGCATGTCACATATCACCAATGCACACCAATCAGATGTTATGACATTCGCACATTCACTTTATTTGATAAGCTTTTGGATTGTTTCAATTGCATTCATATCAATGACTAAATGAGTCCAAATGAATGCAACATTGTAATTATATTATATTCTGGACAAGTAAAACACAACTAATATTATTACAATTTTGTCCACATTCTATTTTTAAATAAAAATACTGCAAATTCGAGTTTAATTTATTTTGGGTCATACCTGTTGCTCAACCGAGACCCAGTTACATGTATTTCATTTCCAACTAATTACTTTTTCTCTCAGCATTGAGAACATTTCAGAACACGTTTATTTACATGTACACAACATCACCATAGTCCTTTCTTGGCCTTCAGTAGCTTTATGCCACACACTCAGCACTGAACTTCCTTCTCACAGTCCTCTTCTGCTGAAGTAAAATACATGATTTATTAACATATTTTATTAATATTTTAGCTAATGACTCATATGTGCCATGTACACATTCAAGGACTTCAAAATACAAAGAGGGGAGAGCAAATCATGCAAACAAGGGTGTGTTGTCTCGTGTCATGTGAGCTGGGAAAGCCACACATGTCAAATATTTGACAGCAAAACAGAATGTCCGAGGTTGCAGTCGAATAGTCCAAAAATCAGCTCCTATCGTCTATCCCTTGACCTCTGTGTGAAACGACTGCAGTCGTTAGAATCTGACTGCAGTTTAGTTGTTACAGCTGGTGGATGTCAAGCACACTTAAACTACTTTACATTAGCCCACTGTTTGTTAGTTTAATCTAAAGCACAGTAGCATTAGATACTCCAGCAGTTACATGAACTTTGTTGAGTAAAAAAAGACTAAATTTCCCTTGCAAATAATTGAAGCATCTGGCTCCTGTTGCTATCGCCAGTGCTTATCTTGACCCCACCTCATTGGTCCCGACTGAAATATCTTGGCAATAATTGGATTGGATTTGAATCAACTTTGGTTAACCAGTTAAGCCCTGAGCCTGTTTTTCAGGTTTCAGGCTCGAAACTGCCACTAACACAACAAATGATATATCTTCACTTCTAAAAGGGGTAAATTAATAATTATTTATCTCAAAGCAAGGTTACATCTGTGAGTTGGATGTAGAAGTGTCAGAATCAATATAGATGTTTTTTTATTTTAAAGTAAATTCAGATGGAACATAGTAAAAACATGTAAATTCTAATGTCCACCTAAAAAAAAAACGTTACTTATAGTGAAAACCACCCTTGCATGATGGGTTAGTAGACTAAAAGCTTTAGGAATCCAAACTATAACATATAATAAGTACCCTGTATCAAGATTGATGCAAAACAAGTGAAATTTGACCTTTTTAGAGAGATTTAGAAAAATAAAGTCTAAGCGGACTCACCTCTGTGTAATTTGGGAACCATCGGTTCCATTTGAACTTTTTCACTGTAAAAATCATTTTATTACTTTGAATTATCACTATAGGTATTCATTCCATCCAAATACAACTGTTGTGAAAAAAAAATAAAAAAAATAAAAAAACATAGGCCTACTCTTACAGTGAGCCTCTGAATTAGCCCCGAGCAAAAAATGCTAACCTATTACTGCACCGAAAATAGAAAAAACTCCTAGCTCCCTTATTACTTATCCTAGCTGCACATCCAACACATTGTTTATGATCGCAAGGAGACACAGAATCTAACGGTGCCCACCTCAACACTGAAAGATACAAACACGTTATCAACAAAAACGTACATCAAAACAAATGGCGCTAGCGCTAATGCGCTAGGCTAACAATGACTTACCTTCCTCGTTGTCTGGTCTAAACTGGTCTTCAATGGCATTAAAACGATAAAACGATGATGTAGTTAATCCATAGATTAATATCCAATGGGGCTGTGTCCCCTTTGAAATGTTCTGATAATCTATAAGCAATAAAACTGCAATTCCGTTATCTGCTGTCCGCTCTGTGCTCCATGCGCTCTGGGTCCTGCTGCAATTCCTGCTTCGTTACGTTGTAAACAATAAATGAAATCGGCTGCGTAATGTATTTAAGCTGGCTGGCATTCTTTATACTTTACGCAGGACCATATCTCTGGAACCCATTGGTCGATTCGTGTGATTTACACCTTTTTCTTAACCATTACATCCAATAGAATCGATGGGCAGTTCCCAAATCTACGTAAACATTACCATAGCGGACGTAATAGAGAAGCAAACGAAGCATATCTGAAAGTGCAAGCCTGGACGGCAATACTTTATACCGAGTATATTGCCATAAATATGATGATTGATTATCAGTAAACAATTCTACGTGACACAAAGACATTGGATTAACTTTGAGATGCGTTTTTATTCCGTTGAACACAACTTTTGATCACAAATCAAAAAAGGTAAGACGTAATTATTGTAATATCTTTGGAACCGGATGTTGTTTACTTTCTCTTTTCTGGCTGATAGCTCCAGGAATTCGAGGTCTTACAGTGATGACATTACATGTGTGGAATCTGTGGAGTCTCAGCTTTAAATCGTATATCTTGTTTGTGCAGTTAAGATAGTAATAAGGGCATTTCTACCGTGTGTTGTGTGTAAAAAAGCGTTAGCATTAGTTAGCATTTTTTCGCTCAATGCTAATTCAAAGGCTTGGTATTACTCTTGTGTTTTTTTTAGCTAACAATTGTTCTTATTGTCAGTTAGCGGAGTTTCTTACCTTTAAAAGGGTATGAAATATTAATAGTTTCATAAATGTTAAGAAGCCCTGAGACAAAAAACTGTGGGAAGGGTCCACTGGGGGGACCTTCGGGCTTAACTGGTTAAGGCTTTCACAGTCCCCAGAGGATGGATCATTGCTGTAGATGTTCGTTATGTACTGCTCTTGTTTACATTGTTTTCCCCAATGGGATGTGACAGGTTGAAAGCATATATGCACATTCTTCCTCTGTTTCTCCTTTCAGCAAAATTCACACTTCCAAGAACTTATCAGCTGTTGGTTACTTAACATCCACAGCCACCTCTTCTGCCCTGCAATAACCTAACTACCATAATCCCCCCCCCCCCCCCCACGTGTTCTTCATTCAATTAATTAACATTCCAGCTTCATTTCCCCATGCATCTAGCCTTACTATAGTGTGCATCCGTCTTAGCATAGTTTCAAGGTTCAAGTTACATTACATGCTCTTTATTTTTATAATAACAACAATTACAGAGAGCAGTCCCTCTAATCATACTCAATCACATTTCATAAAACATAACACACACACACACACACACACACACACACACACACACACACACACACACACACACACACACACACACACACACACACACACACACACACACACACACACACACACACACACACACACACACACACACACACACACACACACACACACACAAATATATATACTGTATGTCATGCACTTTTTTCTCTGTTCTTCTTTATAAAATGTGATCTATTTGTCTCACACAATATATATAAGGAGACTTAATGGTAAAAAAACAAAACACATTATCAACTAACTATTGGATTTGATTATCAACAAAAAACACACCAAGAAACCATCTTCTAAACGTATCATTACAACAGTTTTGAAACCAACCGTCTTCAAACAGTATATGGCCTATTTAATATCCGGCAGAGGGACAACATCATTAGTTTGATTTAAACTTAAGACAATCTTATTGTGTTAGAAATAGAGGTTTGGAAGAGCATGTACATATAATAATTGCTTATTCTTCTTCAGTTGGATCAGGACAAGCGTAGAAATAACGAAGTCCCAGAACCTCAGAAAAAGATGGAGGCCAAGGAGACCAGCAGGAGGATGACACAGGGAGCAGTGGGCAGGGCACTGTTACACAAGTTCCCTTCACAGCAAGCCATGGCACCACCACATGCTATGCTGCTAAGGCAACCCTTGGTTACCATGGTATAACCTGCAAAAAGAAATATATGAAACCAGTTCACAAAACAAGACTATTGTATGATGGTTGTTTTTTGTGAGTGGAATATTACAGTTGCAATCCAAATTATTCAATCCCCATTGCACATTATTTATTTGCTAAATTTACAATTTCTCAGCTGTTTGCAATGAACAAATTACACAATAACTGTTTAAGTAGATTCAATGAAACTAATATTATAAGGCTTTTCATCCAAATTCAACACAAAATGCTAATTTTAAAGACTAATCAAAATTCAACATGCAACCCCTTCATGACAAGCATCTTCAGTACTTAGTGGAGCACCCTTTTGCTGTTATGACCTGCTGCAAACGTGATGCATAGCCAGACACCAGCTTCTGACAGCGCTCCTGAGGAATCTTAGCCCATTCCTCACGGGCAATGACCTCCCACCAGAGATTCTCAATGGGGTTCATAGAGTCAGGCGACTGTGTCATGTCTAAGAAACTTATTGTGAAAGTTTATTCTTTATGTTAGTTTTGTCATGTCCCTTTGTCCTGTGCTTTATGTTTATTTTGATAAGTAATTCTCCCTCTCATTTCAGGCCTCCACGCTCCCCGCCCCTATCTGTCTCCTGCGTCCGTGATTGTTTTCCCCGCCCTGATTGTTTCCATTTGTTCCCCTTACCCTGTGTATATATTGTGCTAGTTCCCTCCTGTCCATTGCCAGTTCGTTTCCTCATTTAGGACAAACATACAAGCCTACTCCACGGACATATTACGTACCTCTAAGCTCCTGATCATAGGCCTTGTTTTTCCTCGAATGAGTGTTATTGTTTTCCCTGTTTTGTTACTGTGTCTAAACTGGTCTAAACCAGTAAAGTCTTTATTTTGAACACTACCTGAGTCTGAGTTGAGTCGTGCATTTGAGTTCATGCCTCAGAGTTCACTCCTTGACAGACTGTGGCGGCCACTCTAGAATCTTCCATTTCTTCTTCAGAAACCACGCCTTGGTTGACTTTGAGGTATGCTTAGGATCATTAATAAACTTAATGTGCAAAGGGGGTTGAATCATTTAGATTGCAACTGTAGCTTTAGAAACGTATTAGGTGAATGAACAACTAACCGTCTAATCTGAGAGAGAAACACCGGTTGAAGATGACTGGACAAGATTTGGTGTCAATGCAGGATTTAGGGTCGGTGGCGGTGCATGTGTAGCATCTTAATCCACAGGCTGTACATATACACAAAAAACACATCAGGTGAAAACATGCCAACGATGCAGGGTTGGGGAAGCTACTGTACCAATTCAACAACCTGGAACACTTTCAACTACAGCAAAGCTACCCTAGGGAGAAATGTAGCTAGGTTAATTAAGTAAGGGATAATGTGCAGCGACGCGGTCATTATGGGGAAAAGAACACCGACAGGCTGATCAGGAGCCCGACGCGAAGCGGAGGGATCTAGATCGGCATGAAGGTGTTCATTTTCTGCATGCAGTTTGCTTTTCGGCCCAACTGTATACAGTTAAATCGACCGGACTTCTTTCTGAAGATGTGAGCGTCCTTAACAACGGTCAATAAGTCCT